TTTCCAACCACACATTTATGTGAGGCTGGATTTTCTTCATATATGTCAACCAAAAAAATATATCCAACAGCAGATAAAGAGAATTCATCTTTTTTTCTAAGCCAGTCCTTAAAGTAAAGAGAGTTGCAGCCAGTCTAAAACAATGTCACTCTTCTCACTGTTTTGTTTTTGAAAATATTTTGTTAACAGAAAATATTATGGCAATATATAATGGTTTATAAATGTTATCTTAATAAATTTTAAAATTTCTTTAATTACGAAGGGATTATAAAATACACATCATACCTGCTATTTGGAGAGACTGAGACAAAGTACTCAATTCATTTATAGAATGGATTACTATTTACTCCATCACTATCCATCTAATAGTAGTCCTATGCTACTCAAATTACCTTGCTAAAATGACAGAGATCCTTCAAAACCTGAATAGTATTCACAGGCACATTTCATCTTTGCTTCCAAAAAACAGTTTACATGTTTTAAAAACAAGAGTTTTGACCACTACAGATCAAAGATGTCAAAATCGAAAAAGAAAAGATTAACGAACTGTCATTTAAGAAAACGAAATCTAGATTCAATATGGGATCCAAGATTGGAACCTGTTAGAAAAAGGACAACAGAGGAAAAACCAAAATCCAAATTAGTTTTGTACTTTAGGTAACAGTCCTGCACCAAGGAAATTTTGAAAACTGTACTCTGGTTATGCAAATAGGACAAGCTGGTAAAGGGTATGTCAACTCACTATCTTTGTTAACTTGTAAACCTAAAATTATTTTAAAATGAAAAGTTTAAAAATTCAACTACCAGTGAATAAATGCATAAAATCTAGTTCTGTTATAATTCATACCCAGAGAACAATTTCACAATCTCAAAAAAAACACAGTTACCAAAAAAAAAAAAAAAAAAACCCTCTACCACCAAGATTCTACATGGAACAACAGTTTCACATCCAGAGTGCTTCTAAATTCAGTCACAGACTCTAAAAACAAAACAAACAAACAGAAAAAAAGGGGTTATCAGATGGTATTTCCACCAAAAGGAAAGGTTTAAATGTGTCCTGGCAAACTGACAAGTGCCACTGTGACAAAACATACCAGGCTTAGGAGACCTATCAATGAACTACGAAGTTTCAAACAGCCCTGAAGGAAATAAAAGACACTGAATCTTATTTTTAGTGAGGGGAGGAGACACCCTAATTTTAAAAACTGAACATAATAAAGTCTAAGAACAAACAAAAGAATGTATATAAATTAGCTGGGAGAGTTCTTAGTCTACATAAAAATTACTTCTTGAATATAGGATTTCAAAACGCAGCAAATCTTGTCCTAAGGCAATCAAAGCAATATTATTAGAGTTTATCTTTTAGAGCAGGGTCAGCAGCCTGAGGGCCAAGTTCAGCTGGCCTATTTTGGTTTTTACTCTTTCATTTTTTTTTTTGAAGGATTATAAACAAACATACATATGTGACAGAGACCCCTGGTCTGCAAAGCCTTAAATATTTACTATCTGACCTTTTACAGAAAACATTTGCCAATTCCTGCTTTAGGATAATAAATTTAAAAACCAAAGTGGACATACTATAATCTGAAATCAATGTTTTAAAATCAGCAATTCATTAAATTATTTTCTTTAACTTCAGCCAAGATAAATCCAGAAAAAAATTTTTTTAACTTTGAAAACTTCTACAGAAATTATTGTGAATTCTGAAAGTAGTCTCAGGCATCATAAGTTTTTGAAAGTTCACTGATTCTATATTTTTCTATACTTCCAAGATAAATGTCACCTACTCAAGGGCATTCCATTTTAGCATGAGACGAAGAGAAAATGATCAGCTATTAATAGCTGCATAATAAACCGTATCTTTAGTTATCTTTTACTAACTTAACACTGATCAAAGTTGAAAATTTCCCATTATTTCACAGGGTCTATAAATTGACATTTTAACTTTTCAGTCAATATAGGCAACTTGTCTTCACCTCGAAGCAGTTTGACTTAGCAAATTATTTATAAAATATGGATGTATCTACCTCCCACTTCAGAATATGTAAAGCATGCCTTTTGTTTCAAAGTAGATTTATACCATAGTGAAGTTTTACAAGGCTCAAAACAATGCCCTTTGTAAGGTAATAATTTAAGAGGTATTTAATGTAATTTAAAGAAGTCACATTACTCTTTAAGTTCTGAAAATTACCTTGCTGCAGATTATAAATTTCATGTGAACAGTAAGATGGAAAGAAACTTACCAGGTGGACCAAAAAGACCCTCTTAGGAGAATTTTAAAGAATTACTTTTTAAAGGTCATTTGATCACCTGCTCCTTACTGCACAAAACATGGATGACCCAGATTTCCAGTTACAGTGCGTTTCAGCCTTCATTCAGTGAGGTGAAACCACCACCACTTAGAATGGTAGTGACACTAACAGGCCCTTAGGGCCAAGCACATCTCCAAGCTGATTTACTCACAAGAAAAGTATAGTTTACAAGTTCAAAGTTCTCTTCATCCACCTCTAGAAACCTGTTATTTTAAAATTTTTAAAAATATTTATGACCTGCCCCACATATTACACACAAATGTAGCGTAACACACAGCAGTACACGCTAAAGTGTGCGCACACACACACACAAACACACACACGAGACCAAAGCAAAAAATCAAAAAGGTAAGAAACAAAGAGAGTGTAAGAAATTAGCCTCAACATACTGCAATACCATCAGCCTATGCTGTTTTAACGCAAACATATTTTTAGGTCAGACTGTAGAGAGAAACCATTTTTCAACTCCAGCTATCTTCCCCCAAATCTGAGGAAACCCTTTCCTAAAAGAAGTCTTTAAAAATACCACTTGTTTAAGCCACCCAGAAAGCAAATGCAGTAAGCATACTTCAAAGAAAAATGGAAAGCTGCCTATGGAGTAAACTTTTATCAGAAAGTCACTTTATGGTAATTTCAAATTTAGTGCAAGTTTACTTCCTCAACTTGAGAACAAATGAAAGAAAAATACAAGCATCAATAGCCTTACTTCCCAATCGACACCACAGGGAAAGGGACTGACTGCCCAGGCAAGAAAAGGCACTGGGCCTGCCTGAGATCTGCCCCCAGAGCCCACCTCCAGGCCAGGTAGGAAGTGTCATACAATCAAATAAGGCCTGCAGACTTCTTCAGGCTTTCTCTATCAAGCCAGTTTTGGAATCCCCTATATCTGAATTTCAAATATAGGGTCTTGAATCTGCAAGAGGCAAGTACTCTCATGGGCTCTTCTTAGCTCCTGAAAATCCAATAAAATGTGAAAAAATAAGTAAATAATCTCCTTTAACAGGGCATTTACCTTTAAGGATACCTGAAAACTCAGCATATGACACATACCATATAACCAATAACCAAAAACGTTTAATGGAAAGTTTCCCCATGAAGAGTGTTGTAAAAGACATAGAATTACAAAGATGTCAGGCATTATTTTAAAAACAAGGTCAGAGAAAAGTTTAACATCAAGACCTTATTTCCTTCTCACAGAATAAATCATAAACAAAAGCTCATTAGTTGGTTGAATCACTAAAACAGAATTCTAGGAAAAAAAGTAAAAGCCCAAAATTACCCTCAAAAAGCAAAGTTCTCAGTAGCAAACTTTTATTTTGCCATAACTGAGAAGCAACTGAAGACAGATATTGAATGTGGCTCTACTGCAAACACTATCTCAAGGAGCAGGGGGCCCTGGCAGCTCGTTTTCATTGGGGGATTACTGCCTCTAGGACCCCATCTGGAGTGACCCGATGACTATCAGTAGCTCAATTTCCTCAACAACTGAGATAGTTGTTCTAGAAAACAAGCTATCTCAACTAGAGCTCTGAATTGCACAACTGCAGAGAGAGGAAATGCCAAGTTCAAGGAGACCAGTTCTGAGAATCAGGGTCAGAGTCTGGTGAGGGAAGGCTTTCCTCCAGACTTCCACGCCCTAAGAAACATCTCCACCTTTGTGAAACTACTTTAAAGCCCAGAGTTTCCCTTTAAGAATTAAAACAGAAGTACGTCAGGGAACAGCCCTACTATCCTCCCCCTGCTCTAACCCATTCTTTCTTCTTCCGGACATTAATGCTCCCTGTCCTCCCGCATAGCTGCAATGAGATGTATGAAAGGTACTGGGAAACAGGACAGCACTTCAAAGACATCAGACATACTTTAAAGAACACATTTGGTAAATTTCAGTTAATTTGCACTAAGCAAAAGATGCCAAACCACTGAATTATATACACTTTAATTGGGTGAACTTACAGTACCTACAGTGCATTTCAATAAAGCTACTAAAAACAAAAATAAAGAGCTGCAAAACTGATTGTTTAAATAGGATAAAGGCCAGAGACTAAGCTCAGATTTGTTTCAACCTCTCAAAATTAAAAATGAATGGCTGGTGGTACAGACAGTAGACACCAAAACAAACTTTCTTCAAAAGGTTAACAGCCTAAGAGGGTAGCCCCCAAAATGAAGTTTCACATTGAGACAACGCCAACATGTAACGAAGTTAATGTGATTTTCTCCCCCGTGGTTACTTCTACTTAGGATAAAATGACTACTGTTAATACCGTGATTAAAATTTGCAACCAGGAACGACTACAATGTAAAACAGGGTAAGTAGGCAGTGATACCAAAACCGTGGAGAATAATCTTCCCAACAGAAGTCCTAGCATTTCCTACAGTGTATTCCCAGCTCTGAGCGGCTTGTAAATCACTTGCCAGGAAAGGAAGCCCCTTCCCCCACCAGCCCAAGCTCTGCTAACAGCGGGGCGTGTTTTACAGCAAAAATGAAGCCCGCGGGAGCGGCTCCCACACCCGCCACCCGGTGGCCGGGGTCTGGGAGGCTTCCTGGCCCGGTGGCCACGCGGCAAGCCCGGACCCGCGACCGGGGAGACGGGGCACGCTGGGCGCCGCCGCGCTTGGCAGAGGCCCAGAGTCGTGCAGGCCCTTCCCGCGGAAAGAAGCGCCCTCCCGCCTGGCCGGGGCGCCAGGTACCTCATGCTGTAGGCGCCGGCGCCCAGCTCCTGCCCGATACCCGAGAGGCTGGCGTCGAAGTCGTGCACCAGCCCGGACTCGATCACCTCGTCCATCTTGAGCACCCAGGCCATCTTCCGGCCTCGCCGCCGGCGCACAGGCGGCTCCGCGAGCGGGCGAGGGCCGGAGCTCCGCGGGCGCGTCCTGAGGGAGGGCGCGGGTGAACCCTCCGGCGCGCGGCGAGTGGTCACCAGCAGCGGCCCGGGCAGCGGCCGCGACGAGAGCGGCCGGGGCCCGGAGAGCAGGGCCCGGCGAGCCCGGCGAGTAGCTGCAGCGCGAGCAGCCGGGCCGCCGGCAGCGCCTCCCTCCCGCGGGCGCCGGCCCCGCGCCTCATGCCGCTGCCGCCACCCCTGCGCCGCTAGCACTGCCGCCGCCGCCGCCCGCCCCGCCCCGGGGCCCCGGGCCGCATCCTCCCAAGACCGCGCGGAGGCGAGCTCGGCCCGCTCCGACGGCCGCGCGTGACGAGCCCGCCCGTCACCCGACCCACGGCCTCAATCCCGGCCCTCGGCCCGCCCGCCCTGCTCTAGCGCCCCGCCGCCCGGGCCAACCCCGCCGCCGCCGCTCCGCCGGCCCGAACGCTGGCTTCCCACGGCTCCGGCTCGGGCTCGGGCTCGCGTGCACTTCCGCCTGCCTGGCCCCGCCCCGGG